ATTAGCTTCCTGTAGCTCCTACTGCCCACTCTCTTCTATCAATAAATCTTTTTGGCCATTGCATTCCTTGTCTTTGGGTAGTGTTATAGATGACATACAACTTCAATCTAGAAGCAGCAGTTTTTCTCAATTTTTGGAGTTGATTGGACAGTTTTTGGCACACCTTTTTGCATCTATTTGGGCTACCTTCACAATGGCTTCCACCCATGTTCTAGCCAATATGAAGATAACTCTGATGTATCCTTCACCCTATCCCCTATGCTGGTTTTTGTCTTTTCACATAGGGAGCATTAGTGTTCATTTGTATCATAGGAGCAAATGTATAAGGGAGAAGCTCCCCAACTCTAATCTTATAGTTGACCTAACTTTACTTGGTTTTTGTACATCATTAGGCTACCAATTTTGGTTAGCAAAATGGTACCCTCATTTAGGTCTAACTTCACATACTTGTAAGGTATCAAATGGCTATAGATTTAGTAGTCATTTCGTATCATCCATTTATTTGGAGGTAAGGTTTATGTCCCCCTATTTTTTGTACTGTAGCTTTATATATATGAAAATCAGCTTTAGGCACAATGCCTAGTGGACTTTTATTTTTATTTTATTTAAAAAACAAGGAAAAAATGGACTCGAGATTACATACCGGAAGGGACTTTATCTTTCAATAACGAGGATACAGAAGGAATCATGCAACCCCATAAAAATGCACTGGTAATTTTTGTACTCATGAATAAAACTCGAGTTAAATGTGTGCTAATTGATCCAGGTAGCTCGGCTAACATCATTCGATCAAGGGCCGTAGAGAAACTAGGCCTATAGGACTAGATCGTACCTTCAATCCGAGAACTAAATAGATTCAACATGGCTTGCAAAACTAGTAAGGGAGAAATAACGTTGCAGGTGAATATAGTCGGTACCGCCCAAGAGACCAAGTTTAATGTAATCGAAGGAGACATGAGATACAACGCCCTTTTCGGGAGACCGTGGATCCACAACATGAGGATCGTGCCCTCGACCCTTCACCAGGTATTAAAATTTCCAACACTAGAAGGGATAAAGACGGTTTATAGGGAGCAACCCGCCACAAAGGAGATGTTTGCCATCGATGAAGTAATTCCAATATCAACATTCTCATTGACAAAGGACTTAGGTTCGAGAGCGAAATAGGAAGCAAAATAGCAATCATCGATGCCAGCCTTGACCCAACCGGACATGCAAGGGTTTGACGAAGACGACGATTATGGTGTTCCTCGATCCTTTATAGCTTCCGATGATTGCGATGCCACCATATCAATGGTCGAAGAGCTGGAGCAGGTCGTGCTGATCGAACATATGCCCAATCGAAAGGTATACCTGAGCACGAGGTTAACTCTCGAGCTTAGGAAAAAACTCATCAATTTCTTACAGCTAATATGGATTGTTTTGCTTGGTCCCATCTCGATATGACAGGGATCCCACCGGAGATCACTACTCACAAGCTTAGTTTGGACTCGAAGTTCCATCCAGTAAAGCAAAAAAAGAGACCCCCCAGTCCGAGATCAAGTAACTAAACTCCTTAAAATAGGGTCCATCCGGGAGGTCAACTACCTAGAATGGTTAGCAAATGTAGTGGTAGTTCCTAAAAAAGGGGGAACAAACTAAGAATTTGTGTGGATTATAAAGATTTGAATAAGGCATGCCCCAAAGATTCTTTCCCTTTGCCTAACACCGGATCGCCTGATCGATGCCATGGCCGGCCACGAGATTCTCAATTTTCTCGATGCCTCCGGGAACAACTATGTACATATGAACCCAGATGACCAAGACAAAACCTCTTTCATCACTAAGTATGGCACATACTGATATAATGTAATGCCATTTGGATTATAAAATGTCGGTGCCACTTACCAACGACTAGTAAACCGAATGTTCGAAGAACAAATAAGAAAAACCATGAAAGTTTATATTGACAATATGTTAGTTAAGTCCCTGTGAGCAGAGGACCATTTAAAGCATTTCCAGGAAACCTTCAGTATATTGAAGAAATACAACATGAAGCTGAATTCAGAAAAGTGTGTGTTCGGGGTCAGATCCGATAAATTTCTCGGATTCATGGTATCCAATTGAGGGATCGAGATCAACCCCAACAAGATAAAAGCTATCGAGGATATCAAGGTAGTGGATAATGTGAAGGTTGTACAATGGCTAACCAGGCGCATTGCAGCCCTGGGGCGATTCATCTCAAGGTCGTCCGATAAAAGCCATTAATTTTTCTTCTTGATGAAAAAGAAAACAACTTCACATGGACCCCAGAATGCCAACGGGTCTTAGAAGAACTTAAGTGATACTTATCGAGCCCGCCATTGCTTCATACGCCAAGGGCGGACGAACGACTACACTTGTATCTAGTAGTATCAGAAATAGCGGTAAGTGGAGTCCTAGTCCGGGAAGAACAAGGTACGCAATTTCCAATTATTATGTTAGTAGGACCTTAGGTGGTCGAAACGAGATATCCTCACCTAGAAAAATTGGCTCTCGCTTTTCTAAGTGCCTATAGAAAACTGAAACCATATTTTCAGTGCCATCCTAGATGTGTTGTGACAATCTACCATTTACAAAATATAATGCATAAACCCGAACTCTTGGGGTGATTGGCCAAATGGGCCGTAGAAATTAGCGGGTATGATATCGAATATCAACCGCGAACAGCCATTAAATTCCAAATTTTGGCAGATTTCGTGGCCGACTTTACGCCGGCCCTAATACCTGATGTCGAAAGATAGTTGTTGGTAAACTCGGAAACGTCATCGGGAATCTGGACCCTCTTTACGAACGGTGCCTCGAACGTAAAGGGGCCCGGACTTGGCATCGTTCTGAAGCCACCACAGGAAAAATAGTTAGACAATCTATTAGAACTGTAAAATTGACTAACAACAAGGCCGAGTATGAGGCCATGATTGCAGGTCTCGAACTGGCCAAAGGCTTGGGGGAGGAGGTGATCAAAGCAAAGTGTGACTCCTTACTTGTAGTAAACCAAGTTAACGGAACGTTGGAAGTTAGAGAAGAACGAATGCAAAGATAACTAGACAAGTTACAGGTAACATTACATCGATTCAAAGAGTGGACTTTGCAGCACGTGCCTCGAGATCAAAATAGTGAGGTTGATGCCCTTGCGAACTTAGGATTGTCGGTCATAGATGACGAGCTCAACTCGGGGGCAGTCGTACAACTCATGAGGTCGGTAGTAGAGGAAGGTCACGCCAAAATAAACTCTACAAGCTTAACTTAGGGTTGTAGAAATAAATACGTAGAGTATTTGAAGACCGGGAAACTTCCCTCAGATCTAAAGGAATCGAGGGCCCTGCGTACTAAGGCAACACGATTTAGCTTGTCCGAGGAAGGAACCTTGCTCAGGAGAATATTCGATGGCCTGCTAGCAATATGTCTGAGACTGAGAGATACTGAGTACGTTCTGAGGGAAGTCCATGAAGGCACCTGCGGGAACCACTCAAGCGCCGAATCATTGGTTCGAAAGTTAATCAGAGCTGACTATTACTGGATCGATTTGGAAAAAGATGCGAAGGAGTTCGTACTAAAATGTGATAAATTCCAAAGACATGCTTCGATGATTCATCAACCCGGGGAGCTGCTGCATTCGATTTTATCGCCATGGCCATTCAAGAAGTGGGGTATGGACATCGTCGGTCCTCTTCCATCGGCACCAGGTAAGGCTCAATTTGTCTCATTTTATGACTGACTATTTCTCTGAGTGGGTTGAAGCACAGGCATATAAGAAGGTCAGGGAGAAGGAAGTCATCGACTTCATTTGGGATGACATCATATGTTGGTTCGGGATACCATCCAAAATTGTATATGACAACGGAAAACATCTTATCGGTAGTAAAGTGACCAAATTTCTCGAAGACCATAAGATCAAAAGGATCTTGTCAATACCTTATCACCCTAGTGGGAACGGACAAGCCGAATTGTCCAACAAAACCATACTCCAAAACCATAAGAAAATGTTGACTGACGCTAAGGGAAAATGGAAAGAGATCCTGCCCGAAGTTCTAGGCATATCGCACAACTTCGAAGTCCAGTACCGGGCTACCCCATTCTCATTGGTTTATGGCATCGAAGCTCTAATATCGATCGAAGTCGGGGAGCCGAGTATTAGATTCTGATATGCAATAAAGGAATCAAATGACGAGGCCGTGAATACTAGCATGGAGCGATTAGATGAAAGGCGTGAAGTCGCCCTTGTTCGATTGGCCGCCCAAAAGCAACGGATCGAGAGGTATTACAATCAAAGGGCCAACCTTTGATACTTCAATGTCGGGGACTTAGTACAAAGGAAGGTCACACTAAGCACCCGAAATCCGAACGAAAGGAAATTGGGTCCGATCTAGGAAGGACCATATCGGATTCTCAAGGTCACAAGGAAAGGATCCTCTAAGCTCGGAATAACAAACGGAGAACAACTATCGAACAATTGGAACGTAACTCACCTAAAATGATATTACTACTAAGGTACGACCCCATTTCATTTCTTTTTATCTTCAGACTAATACTTGCAGGTGGTCGATAAAGAGCGGCACGGATCGTTTAGGTCTGAAAGCACGCGTTGCACTCTTTTTCCCTTGAACCATTTTTGTCCCGATTGGGTTTTTCGGCAAGGTTTTTAACAAGGCAACAGTGGATCATGCTAACTTAGAATCAAAGGCCGATCACGAATCGGCGTTGAAGACAACACTAACAGTATCCGAGGTTCCTCTACAATCAACCTCGAATACTAGGGGGCATTACCCTTGGATATTAATTTTTTGTGAGGAAATTACTTCGTAATAGAAAGGTCGTAATAGAAAGATTTCTTGTAAGAGCCAAATGGTCAAATGAACCGTGCCCACATAGGTTGCCTGAGCCTTGGCATAAAATATGTACGCATGTATAACTATTTTTCACAAGAATAAAGAGAATTACTTTCCTTGCAATTATCTTATGTCTTAGAAAAATTTCCACTTTACAATTTCGTACTTTCGATCTCTTAAGGAAACGAGCTTAAGGGCCAAATATAACCAGAGTTCGGATGCTCACTCCCATACTCAGGGACTGCCGTCTGAAAAATAAACTCGAATAGATTGAACTATCGATCATCGGGGGCATAATACCTCTTAGGAAATCCCCGATTTTTAAAGGCCACGGTCATACCCACGTCGACCTTGTATTTGGCTACTTTAGCATCGGCTTTGGCATTGGCCACTGCCACCTCTGATTTGGCCACCTCTAGTTCATTGACCAAGTTTGCTCTATCAAAAATAGCCAAGTCCAACTGGGATTGAAGCTCCTTGATTTTCTTGACCTGCACCGACGCTTTCTCTTTAGCAGCCTGGGGCTGGGTCTCGGCCGACTCCAGTTATGCTCGGACAGCTTCCTTTCTCGAAGCTAAGATGTCCATGTTTTTCTTGAACTCTTCAGCCTCAACTTGTATTGTATCTACCTCTGTCTTGAGCTGCCCAATCTGTTCGAGCCTCTGCCGGACCTACAGGATCGGATCGTTAGTCACTATCTCCAATTCTTCTTCACTATCGTGAAGCACTCGAAATACCTGCTCGAACATCTCGGCATGTTCATCCCGAGCTGTTACTAAATCGGCCTGAAGCTTCTCACTGAGAAGCTTGTAGCTGTCACTTTTCTCAGTGAGGTCCCGAACCTCAGCCTCGTGGTGAGTTAATTCCTCCCGGTATCGGAGGAAAGCCTCGTGATGTAGCAGCGAAGCCTGCAAGCATAAGGGAAAATGTTATGGTTAAATACAACTTTAAAAGTTAGAATATATGAGAAGAAAGACACGCAAATTTACCTGATTTAATGCTTGTTGGGCTTCATTGAATAGGCAGGGGGTTTCCACTTCGTTCATCACTGCCTGATATTCTTTGGTCACCAAACACCGAAGGTAACTACCGACCCCCACGGGGGAAGAGAAAACCTGGGCATCCTCCGGGATAGAGAAAGCTATTGACCATCTTCGGTCAGGATTAACACTTGGGCCGGGAATCGATCCACCTTTAGGCTCGATGAAGAACCGGTGGCACCCGATGACGGTACCTTCCTTGGCACCGGCAGGTCACCAAGCCCAGTGAAGTCTTCCAAAGTAGCAAACGCAAACCCATCCAAGAAGCCATGGATATCAGTCGCCTTCTGAGGCCCCTCGTAAGAACGGCTTTCCAACATACCGGCCTCACGAATCATGGCGTCCGAAATCTGAGGGGACCCGCTGATGTCGATCGCTCCAAGTTCGTCTCTCGGGGCACTTTCCGCTGCTCGAGAACCATCACCCCCGATCTATCGCTTGACCCCCTAGCTTGGGGCAGAATGGCCTCGACTCCTTCTGGCTCGAAAGCTTCAGCCAGAGCTCTCTCATCGACCTCCTCATGTCGAGATGGTTCAACTTCATCACCTGCTAGTTCGAGAATCTCTTGTACCATGACACCAGACCGCACACGGGCCACCAGTTTGGATTTACCTTCCTCTTCTTCTTCTTCGGACTAATCCCTTAGTCGATGACTGAGTCCGAGAGTTGAGCGCCGGAACTTCCCCTGGGCTTGTGCGACCTCTTCTTCAGTTTATTCTTTTCCGAGTTTGGGGAACTCGAGGCCCTTTTCCTTTTCTTTTTATCACCCTGCTTCGGAGCAGGGGGCTCGGAAGGCACATCCTCATCACCGGATGGAGGCCTCATAGCTACGTCTTTAAGGTGACCTACAAAAGGAAACAGAGCACATAATAATTCCACAGTGCAAGGAGGAAATCAAACAGTATTGAATCAAAGGAGAAAACTTAACATGATTACGGGCCTCCCATCGACCCTCCGATAACTCCATCCAAGCATGCTCGGAGTATGGTCTCATTGCACCAGGCCCTCAACCCATTACTTGATTTCGGGAACTACGTCTGGCACTTGGGACACAGCTGCAACACCAAAAACATTGATGAGGAAAGAAAATAAGAGGTAATACATCAAAATTGAACATTCAAGGCGAAGTACTATTCACGATTCGTGTTCCATTTCTCAGGAAACAGAATGTATTCAGCAGGGATCAGTTCCGAAGTCCTTATTCGGACAAATCGGCCCATCCAACCTCGGTCACGAGCCTCGTCTATACTCGATAACGGGGCCTTGTTGGCCCGGTGAGCAAGCTTGATTAGCCCTCCTAGATAGAGTCGGGGATAGTGAAGGCGCATAAGGTGATCGAGGGTGAAGGGACATCCCTCGATTTTTCTTACGAAGAATCGGAGGAGAATTAATATTCTCCAGAAGGAAGGATGGATCTGGCCAAGGGTCACGTCGTACCTCTTGCAGAAGGCAACGATGATAGGGTCTAAGTGACCCAACGTCAAGGGGTAAGTGTAGACACTTAGAAAACCCTCCACGTGGGTAGTGATCGATTCCTCGGGCGAAGGTACCACCCCATGCTTATCAACCCAGCTGCAATCCTCTTTAACCTTGGTAAGGAGATCATATATAATTGTGCATATGTACCTCGAGACCGGTTCAGATCGACTCGGTACCGAGGAGGTCTTTTCAATCTTAAAATCAGGAACAGAAGGGCACCCTGCCGGAACGAAATCCTCAAGGGGATATTCTGCCGCAGCTCCATCGCCGGCGGGCCATGATGATGAGGCGGCCTCCTTTTGCGGTACAGTCTTAGAAGTTTTCTCCATTGAAGAACTAAAGAAAAAGGAATTATGATGGTATGCGGTTTGCTAAAAGTTAAGAAATTTGGGTGCAGGAGTTGCAAAGAAAAAGTAATTTTTGAAAAGAAACAAGAATATGAGGAGTTTTGAACGTAAAGTTTGAATATAGAAAGGTTACAATACTCATAGTTTACCGGTGACATTTAAGAACCCATGGTGGCCGTCCAGCAACTGACAGGCATTTAATGCCTTGGTAACTGGACCGACAAAATGTTTCGATGTCCATTTGTTGCTTACGTCATAATCGGTCGTATCATTGACGTTCGTCGCCTACATCATGGACCATCTAGACGGGGCTCGGAAGTTCATATTGTTTCTCGTCATCTTCTCTCCGAGAAACGAGGGGACTCTCTGTATACGGTCAAAACAAGGCTTGCCTTTTTGTGTGACTAATCGAGATTGAAATACGATAGGTCAGGGTTCGACTTCGTGTTATATCGAACCATGGTGCAAAGTTATATCATCGAGCTCGTGACCCAGAGATCGATCAAGATAGAGATCGGCCAAGGTGGAGACCGAGCAAGATAGAGATCGAGCAGGATCGAGGGAAACTTACCAAGACAAATATCGGAAAACTGAAACAACCGCAATTGAGCGAGGATGGCGGAAATCCCAGCACGTACAAGAAGAGGCCGATTAATTAGCTAATCATGAGATTTCTTACATCATATAGAACTGTATCAAGAGTAGGACTCCCCTACTATATAAAGGGAGTATGATCATTTGTAAATGACATCATATTTACACAATACAAAGCAATATACTATCATTTTCTAGATTTCACTATCTTGTTACTCTGTTCATTGTCGACGCCCCTTTTTTCTAAAAGCGAAATCGGGTTTACGACATTTGGGAAGACAACTCTATTCCCGTTTAGGAATTGGGTTTTTGGATTTGAAGAGTCGCCACCTTATGATTAAGTGCATTAGGACAGTAAGGGTTTTTGAGTTTGAAAATCAGAGTTCGGGTAAGGGCTAGAAATTATCTCGAGGGGAAAGTGTTAGGCACCCCTCAAGATCCACTAGTGTGGTTCCCGGCCATCCTATGTTGTGACTTTACAAAAAATCAATCAAGGCTCAAATAAGGACTTGCAATTAAATTGAAACTTGTGAAAGTAAGTAGAAAGAGAGCAGAGATTTGAAAGGTCTAAACAATTCTAAAGAGAGCAAACAAAGACAAACAAAGGAAAAGGGATCCTAGGTTTATGATTAATATGGATCACTTCAATGCAATACCCAGCAATCACTCCTCAAAGAGGGGTCGCACGTGATATTAGCGCATCGGTCATCATCTCCATATTCTACCCTTCCCACCCCGTAAAGGTTATTTAAACGTGTGGATTGGTCACGAATGCTTATTGCGTGCCATTACCCGTCCCGTCCTATAAGTCCTAGAGGGTGTTTAGGACCATTATTCCTACAAGGTGAGGACTAGGCTGAACCCTTAGGTTTAAAGGACAAAATGCTAGGCGACATACATAACAAGTAGGACTGCACATAAAGGAACCATACAAAGGCAAATAAGAGGCTCACAGATCCCTCACAAGTAAACATGTAATTAGCACGTCTCAAACACATTTAAGGTTTTAAAAGAACGCGAGTTTAAAGATCAGTTTTAGCAGAAGGTTTAATCACAACTGAGTGTTCCGAAGAGCGTTTGACATGCAGAACCACAACTAAGAAAACAGTTGAGTAAGTAAAGGTGAGGGAACTGTTAAAACATCATTTGAAAAAAAGAGGTAGAGATTTGAAAATACAATAGTTTAAGTAAACAAGTACCAAAATAACATGATCCTGGGCGGAAAGGTACCAGTAATTTAAAAGCTTAATAGAGCACGAATCAGGAAATTAGTGAGAGCCTATAATTACGAAACAGGTTTCCAGATAAAGGGATTTTCAGTAAAAGAGTGGACTTTCGGAGAGACGGATAAAAAGAGTTAGGAAAGTTAAAAGGTTGAGTAGTTTGAAACTAGTAAAACAAAATCAATCATCTTTATTATTATTGGGCCTAAAGCTTGCCTAGGCGATGTATGGATTGCCTTCTTGTCTTAAAAAAAAGTGGTGAACATGCATATTGATTCCAGTTTTAAAGAGAAGACGCAGTCAAACAAACTTGTGTTGTTAAATTAAACAGCTAGTGAGGCGTTCAGCAATTGCAACCCTAAATAACATGATGTCTAATGCACATAAAGCTCCTAAAGCATGGTCTCTAAATGTGGTAGTAGTTTCATAACAGTTGTTCATTAATTACTATCTGACTACAAAGTAAGTATAACAATCTGAAAGTAAAGAGCCTAAAACAGGATATCTAGGTGTAAGATGTTTGTCATACGCATGGCTTCTATTGCACAAATTGGTAAGTAAAGCCCTATAGACATGTTCTCTACCCATTAATTAAACTAAGCATGCATAATCCCTCTCAATTTCACTATAACCCCAATCAGTTGTTTACAAATTATTACAAACCATGATAGCCGATTTACATAATGAAAGATAAAATAAGAGGCTACTCTATAGGAGCCTTCAATCAGGCCCGATCTTCCAACCTCACTTCTTTCGAGTTTCACAGCCTTGACCATGGTTTGGGTGCGGCAAAGCTCCCTAAGGGCCTAATGGGGGTCCTTGGCCAATACCGGCACCCAAACATTACCAAAATGTTGAACAAGTGCAGTGTGGAATTACCAGCCTTGTGCATCAAAGTTCAGTGGGTACTCAAAGGTGCCCAAGGCAATGCTTACACGAAGGGGGGTAGAACCTAAACTCTAGGAGTAGTGAGAGTGTGATAGAATTTTCTTTAAAGAAATTGAGTTGAAAGACAGTTTTTTTAAAAAAAAATGATCCATGTAAAAACAGTTTTGAAAGAAAAACAATGGGACAGTTTCGACAAACTCAGAAACAAAATACATCATATAGTTCCGGAGTAACACAAACAGGGAAAAGGGGATGGGGTAAATAGTTCACATGTAACAACACAGTTGCACCTAGATCCAAAAGAAGATTTCAAAACTTAGACAGTCAACAGGTTTCAACCAAAAGGGCTCATGATCACATGCTGAGAATGTATAGGGGCTAGGGAGTAGGAGAGAATATGCATCAAGCAAACCAGTAGGCATGCCGGATTAATAGAAGGATAATCACACAGGGGCATGCTAGTTGCAATAAGAACAGCAGGACCATAAGTAAAAGCATAGAAGAAACAAAATAAGGTGCAACATGTATAAAAGCATATTGTTTTGGATACTACAAATCAAATAGAGGGCATACCAGTCAAGGATGAGATAGTGTAGAGCAGTAGTGTGCAGGGAAGTAAGCAGTAGTATGCAGACCAAACAATCAACAATGTATAGAGCAGTAGAATAATGGAGCAGCCCCCAAAGATCAATCAGTCTTGGCTTTCAGCCGACTGAGTAACCAGTAATCAACAGGAAAGCGGGAGAGGATGTGTAGACAACAAGAGAGAACACTGAGTATGCTTATGTGTGTAAGAGAGAGTTCAGA